CCCCCTGTTGATGAAAGGTAACATCATAGACTCCACCAATCTTCAATTAATCCCTTAAGTTTTGAAGACTTTCCTCATAACTTTAGAGTAACACTTTTACTTTTTAGACAGATCAAATTTCCCATTTACAAAACATTTACTTTTATCGGTTATTATGGATATACGTTTTACCATTAAACGCCATTCATGCACACCTCTTTACTTTTTACCAAAAAAGTTGGCACGAACTTTAGAAAATAAGACCATCTTTCCCCCATAAGATTTTCTTCAAAGCCAGATGCCATTTTATTTTTTAAAAGGAAAAAATAAAAATCTGTAAATAAGAAACTTGGTATCGCTTTATTAAAGATATGAGGGAGAGGAGGAAGCTATGTGTTCCATTTATATTTTTACATGTAAGTGCAAAAAAAAGCTATGACCAATCAATATTCAATGGACTACTCATTGAAAAAAATAATCATTCAATGAATATGTAATGTTTTCGCTAATTAGGGTTAACTTACTAAAACCAACCAATCACTATGAGTTGTGGGTTGTGTGTAGTTAAATGGAACCATAACAATATGGAAATTCCATTTCAAAAGGTAAACAAAAAAAAATCTATTTTATTGATATGTTTTATAAAATAAACGCGCGACCCCTTGCTCCCTTCTATAAAAAAAGGTGAAATTTTTGTTTTATAAATAATTGTCAGTGGTACCATGGCACCTCGCCACATTATAAGATATAATCTAAAAGTTTTTCTTTCAAGTAATATTCCGAACCACCTCTAACAAAATGTACATTGAAAAAATGAAATACTTCAGTGATATAGTTATTCTTAAATTAAATCTTAATGAAGTGTAAAACATAGTGACTCTCACACTTTACCTTTCTTAAGTAAACAAAATACATGTATTTATACTTTTTTCACGAGGTTTAGTTTGTTTAAGAATCCAAATGAACTGTAAATGCAATTTATATATCTTTAGGAGTCCCAAATAAAATAATACTTCCTACACACATTATTTAAACAGAGTTGTTCACATCAAAAATATGTAAGATTGTAATAACAGTGTAATTCCATTAAGAGTAATGTTGACTGAAAATAAATCACTTTATTTAATGTCTTTGCGTATGTTTGTTTATCATAGAAAATGAAATTTGTTCCTGTTTATGGTCACTGAAATTAAGTCTTATAAAATCTTGATCAGTTTATCTTCCTTTCTCCGCTTTTCCTCCATTGTTTTTCTTAATTCACATGCGAAAATTTTGAAAACATTGATTATCGCTGTCTTCCATTTTTAGTAATATTCCAAAGTATGCTCGGCCCTTTATTTACTAATAGATCGCATAACTGCGTTATTAGTTCGTCGCACTGATAAAACGAAAAAAAAAAACAACCAAAAAATCAAGTTCAAAAGTCCAATAAATATCCCGGAAAGTTGTTAAGGGGTCTGCCAGTAACATTATTGTGTTTTCGTTTACAGTCCCCTTTCCAACACACTGTTTGAAATAAATCAATTGTTTCTGAATCAGAAAATATATTGTCCGTTTTTAAATTTTTCACTGTTCCCTTTTTAAAGAAATGCTTAAAAATTTGGAACGTTGCATGACAGTAGATTCTCTTAATTCTTCCATTTGTAAGATTCAAGTATAAACTTACGAAAGTTCTGTGAGTGACTGAACTTCTACAGAGGTATTTATTCGGGAAAAATCATACTCACCCTCCATTACACCCACTCAGTGAGTAAGCGAATGAAAAACGTGATGAAACAAAAATTAAATTATGAAATATGTTGTCTTCGTCTTTCAAATACGATAACATCGTAACCATACCCATTTAACCTTGTATTATTCATTGATGTTTAAAAAAACATGTCACGGGACTTGGTGACCTCAATAAACTTCAATGTTTGTGAGTATACATTGAAGATGATGAAATTTATTTGTGAAATAATTGTAGAAGCTTGTTTTATATCAACTCATTGGCATGGAAGTAAAAGAAAAATGCTTTGTCCTATAAAAACTTTTTTTTTAAATTTTAAAAAGTGTTTAAACGTATTTCAAAGCGTATCTTAGATACGGGTTTCATACAAATAGTAGTCACGCCTCGTGACCTCAAAAGAGTACAATTATACGACCCACTTTATTTAGTTTTTTAGCTCACCTGTCACAAAGTGACAGGGTGATCGCTTTTGTGATCGCTTTTTGTCCGTCGTCCGTCCGTCCGTCGTCCGTCCGTCCGTAAACTTTTGTTTTAAATGACATCTCCTCATAAACCGTTGAGCCAATTTCATCCAAACTTCACAGGAATGTTCCTTTGGTGGTCACCTTTAAAAATTGTTCAAAGAATTTAATTCCATGCAGAACTCTGGTTGCCATGGCAACCAAAAGAAAAAAACTTTAAATATCTTCGTTTAAAAAACCATAAGAGCTAGAGCTTAGATATTTAGCATGAAAACATCTTGTAGTGATTGTCTACCAAGTTTGTTCAAATTAAAACCCTGGGGTCAAAATTGGCCCCGCCCCGGGGGTCATTGATTTTCCCTATATGCATATGGTAAAAACTTAAAAATCTTCTTTTTAAAGAACCATAAGAGCTAGAGCTTAGATATTTGGCATGAAACATCTTCTAGTGAATGTCTACCACGTTTGTTCAATAAAAGCCCTGGGGTCAAAAATTGACCCTGCCCCAGGGGGTCATATATTTTCCCTATATGCATATAGTAAAAACTTAGAAAATTCTTCTTTTAAAGAACCCAAAGAGCTAGAGCTAAGATATTTAGCATGAAAACATCTTCTAATGAGTGTCTACCAAGTTTGTTAAAATAAAAGCTCTGGGGTCAAAATTCGCCCCGCCGCAGGGGGTCATTGATTTTCCCTATATGCATATAGTAAAAACTTAAAAGATCTTCTTTTAAAGAACTCAAAGAGCTAGAGCTAAGATATTTAGCATGAAACATGTTCTAATAGGTGTCTACCAAGTATGTTCAAATAAAAGCCCTGGGGTCAAAACTGGCCCCGCCCGGGGGTCATTGATTTTCCTTATATGTTTATAGCTAAAACTTAAAAATCTTCTTTGGAAAAACCCAAAATAGCTAGAGTTTAGATATTTAGCATGAAACATCTTTAAGTAAATATCTACAAAGTTTGTTAAAATAAACGCCCGGGGGTCAAAACTGGCCCTGCCCCAGGGTTGACATTGTTTTTAACTATATTTGTATAGTAAAAACTTGAAAAAATCTTCTTTTTGAAAATGCCAATGAGCTAGAACTTAGATGTTTAGCATGAAACATCTTCTTATGGGTTTCTACCAAGTCTGTTTAAATAAACAAATTAAAGCCCTTGGGTAAAAATTGGCCCGGGGGTGGGGGCCTATATACAGGTGAGCGACCTCAGGGCCATCATGGCCCTCTTGTTGTGGGTGTGTATTTGACTCATTTCACGTTACCCTAGATTTTTTATTGCTATTATCTAGTTTTTCAGAATGGAGAATGGTATGTTTTTGACTAATTTCACATGACCTCAGGTTTCTGTTTCAACACCCGATTGATATGCTGTGACATTTAGTAATTCTTAAAGAACAAAAGTTTCATGACGGAGGTTGTCTGATTGTTAATTTCGACATGAATTGTAGTGTACATCATTTTCATCTATAAATTCTACATTATGAAATTGGCTAAACACAGATTCTTTTCCGAAGAAAACACAAAATGTTCGTTTTCTACTTCACACATCGTGTATCGAAATAAACTATAACCTACTTTTACACAACAGTACTATAGAAGTAAAGATTTCAATCTTGGGGTGAGGAATCATCCTGGTCCTGAAAAAGAGAAAGAATTGGTAATTAAAAAAACTTTTAATTGGAAGTGACTATAACAATCCATTGTTTTAAATATTAAATTTTAAGAAAAAAGAAACATACCAATTACTGAAAGTCAGCATCATCATCCTAGGAAAAAAATAAAATAAATAAATAATCAGGAAAATACCTGATAAAACGATTTATATTATATTTGCATCAAACTAGTGTTGATTTCAATACAATGAACAATGAACTAAAAGGTGTGTAAAATTTGTGATTATCAAATAAGGAAACATACCCAAACGTATGGTCTTTTTGCGGGTGGAGGCATTATAGCAGCTTGTCTGCTTTTGTCAATTTCTCCCGTTGCTAAAGCTATAAAATAATAATATATATCAAAAAATTTTACCTTTTAGTCTATTCCAAAAGTAATTTGTCACATTTCAACATATTTCTCCGTGTCATGGGGACTTTTCCCACAAATACAAAAAATTGGTTGATTATATACATTTTGTTTATAAATCATAAAGAAGGAGAGATAGATCCTCCTCATCTCTATACGTAAGTTATTGAATTGTATCAGACATTCCTCAAGGTGAGTAGTGTAATCCCCACCATTATAATTTTCTTTTTCACATATATATCCTGTGAAGGCGATGCAATTTGCTTTCCTGCAAGACATTTTTAAATAGCTAGTGTAAAAATCACGATTAACTTTACTTTATAAACTTTTACAAAGTCATAGTATCTAGTCCTGGATTGGTCACTTAAAGGGCAGGGCGTGCTAACTTGTCAAATATCTAATTTTTATTGTATTATTGGTCAGTGTAACATCGTATACTTGACTAAACATAATACATACCTTCAGGGTTTAGTGGGATGGCAATTAACTGAAAATATATCAGTTACTCCTTATTACATGCATAATATATTTGTAATGTATTTAAAGACTTCGCTGCGAATATACATGTTCAATTTAAAACAAAATTACATGTTCAAAAAAAAAACAAAAAAAAAAACAAAAAAAAAAACAGCAGTATCGTCCCATACTTGCGGATTAGCCTGTTGTTGTTGTTGTCCAACATAGGTCCATGTTTGCTGATTTTGATACGGTGTCTGTTGTGGGAATTGTTGTTGATATTGCTGCTGCTGTGAATGTCTTTCAGTGTTATATTGCTGCTGCTGTTGTTGTTGTTGCTGCTGTTGGGTGAATAAGTCTTTGATTAAACAAAATAAATACATAATAAGAAACAGGAGAAATAGGACGATAACAATTCCACGATTGACATAAATCAAAAATATAAATTTGACTTACCCCCTGTTGATGAAAGGTAACATCATAGACTCCACCAATCTCAATTAATCCCTTAAGTTGAAGACTTTCCTCATAACTTAGAGTAACACTTTTACTTTTAGACAGATCAAATTTCCCATTTACAAAACATTTACTTTTATCGGTTATATGGATATACGTTTTACCATTAAACGCATTCATGCACACCTCTTTACTTTTACCAAAGTTGGCACGAACTTTAGAAATAAGACCATCTTTCCCATAGATTTCTTCAAAGCCAGATGCCATTTTATTTTAAAAGGAAAAATAAAATCTGTAAATAAGAAACTTGGTATCGCTTTATTAAAGATATGAGGGAGAGGAGGAAGCTATGTGTTCATTTATATTTTTACATGTAAGTGCAAAAAAAAGCTATGACCAATCAATATCAATGACTACTCATTGAAAAAAATAATCATCAATGAATATGTATGTTGCTAATTAGTAACTTACTAAAACAACCAATCACTATGAGTTGTGGGTTGTGTGTAGTTAATGGAACCATAAATATGGAAATTCCATTCAAAAGGTAAACAAAAAAATCTATATTGGATATGTTTTATAAAATAAAGCGACTAAAAAGGTGAATCTTTGTTTAACATAATTGTCAGTGGTACCATGGCACCTCGCCACATTATAGATATAATCTAAAAGTTTTCTTTCAAGTAATATCCGAACCACCTCTAACAATGTACATTGAAATGAAATACTTCAGTGATATAGTTATCTTAAATTAAATCTTAATGAAGTGTAAAACATAGTGACTCTCACACTTTACCTTTCTTAAGTAAACAAAATACATGTATTTATACTTTTTCACGAGGTTTAGTGTTAAGAATCCAAATGAACTGTAAATGCAATTTATATATCTTTAGGAGTCCCAAATAAATAATACTTCCTACACACATTATTTAAACAGAGTTGTTCACATCAAAAATATGTAAGATTGTAATAACAGTGTAATTCCATTAAGAGTAATGTTGACTGAAAATAAATCACTTTATTTAATGTCTTTGCGTATGTTTGTTTATCATAGAAAATGAAATTTGTTCCTGTTTATGGTCACTGAAATTAAGTCTTATAAAATCTTGATCAGTTTATCTTCCTTTCTCCGCTTTTCCTCCATTGTTTTTCTTAATTCACATGCGAAAATTTGAAAACATTGATTATCGCTGTCTTCCATTTTTAGTAATATTCCAAAGTATGCTCGGGCCCTTTATTTACTAATAGATCGCATAACTGCGTTATTAGTTCGTCGCACTGATAAAACGAAAAAAAAAAACAACCAAAAAATCAAGTTCAAAAGTCCAATAAATATCCCGGAAAGTTGTTAAGGGGTCTGCCAGTAACATTATTGTGTTTTCGTTTACAGTCCCTTTCCAACACACTGTTGAATAAATCAATTGTTTCTGAATCAGAAATATATTGTCCGTTTTTAAATTTTTCACTGTTCCCTTTTAAAGAAATGCTTAAAAATTTGGAACGTTGCATGACAGTAGATTCTCTTAATTCTTCCATTTGTAAGATCAAGTATAAACTTACGAAAGTTGTGAGTGACTGAACTTCTACAGAGGTATTTATTCGGGAAAAATATACTCACCCTCCATTACACCCACTCAGTGAGTAAGCGAATGAAAAACGTGATGAAACAAAAATTAAATTATGAAATATGTTGTCTCGTCTTTCAAATACGATAACATCGTAACCATACCCATTTAACCTTGTATTATTCATTGATGTTTAAAAAAACATGTCACGGGACTTGGTGACCTCAATAAACTTCAATGTTTGTGAGTATACATTGAAGATGATGAAATTTATTTGTGAAATAATTGTAGAAGCTTGTTTTATATCAACTCATTGGCATGGAAGTAAAAGAAAAAATGCTTTGTCCTATAAAAACTTTTTTTTTTAAATTTTAAAAAGTGTTTAAACGTATTTCAAAGCGTATCTTAGATACGGGTTTCATACAAATATAGTCACGCCTCGTGACCTCAAAAGAGTACAATTATACGACCCACTTTATTTAGTTTTTTAGCTCACCTGTCACAAAGTGACAGGGTGATCGCTTTTGTGATCGCTTTTTGTCCGTCGTCCGTCCGTCCGTCGTCCGTCCGTCCGTAAACTTTTGTTTTAAATGACATCTCCTCATAAACCGTTGAGCCAATTTCATCCAAACTTCACAGGAATGTTCCTTTGGTGGTCACCTTTAAAAATTGTTCAAAGAATTTAATTCCATGCAGAACTCTGGTTGCCATGGCAACCAAAAGAAAAAAACTTTAAATATCTTCGTTTAAAAAACCATAAGAGCTAGAGCTTAGATATTTAGCATGAAACATCTTGTAGTGATTGTCTACCAAGTTTGTTCAAATTAAAACCCTGGGGTCAAAATTGGCCCCGCCCCGGGGGTCATTGATTTTCCCTATATGCATATGGTAAAAACTTAAAAATCTTCTTTTAAAGAACCATAAGAGCTAGAGCTTAGATATTTGGCATGAAACATCTTCTAGTGAATGTCTACCACGTTTGTTCAAATAAAAGCCCTGGGGTCAAAATTGACCCTGCCCCAGGGGGTCATATATTTTCCCTATATGCATATAGTAAAAACTTAGAAAATTCTTCTTTTAAAGAACCCAAAGAGCTAGAGCTAAGATATTTAGCATGAAACATCTTCTAATGAGTGTCTACCAAGTTTGTTAAAATAAAAGCTCTGGGGTCAAAATTCGCCCCGCCGCAGGGGGTCATTGATTTTCCCTATATGCATATAGTAAAAACTTAAAAGATCTTCTTTTAAAGAACTCAAAGAGCTAGAGCTAAGATATTTAGCATGAAACATGTTCTAATAGGTGTCTACCAAGTATGTTCAAATAAAAGCCCTGGGGTCAAAACTGGCCCCGCCCGGGGGGTCATTGATTTTCCTTATATGTTTATAGCTAAAACTTAAAAATCTTCTTTGGAAAAACCCAAATAGCTAGAGTTTAGATATTTAGCATGAAACATCTTTAAGTAAATATCTACAAAGTTTGTTAAAATAAACGCCCGGGGGTCAAAACTGGCCCTGCCCCAGGGTTGACATTGTTTTTAACTATATTTGTATAGTAAAAACTTGAAAAAATCTTCTTTTGAAAATGCCAATGAGCTAGAACTTAGATGTTTAGCATGAAACATCTTCTTATGGGTTTCTACCAAGTCTGTTTAAATAAACAAATTAAAGCCCTTGGGTAAAAATTGGCCCGGGGGTGGGGGCCTATATACAGGTGAGCGACCTCAGGGCCATCATGGCCCTCTTGTTGTGGGTGTGTATTTGACTCATTTCACGTTACCCTAGATTTTTTATTGCTATTATCTAGTTTTTCAGAATGGAGAATGGTATGTTTTTGACTAATTTCACATGACCTCAGGTTTCTGTTTCAACACCCGATTGATATGCTGTGACATTTAGTAATTCTTAAAGAACAAAAGTTTCATGACGGAGGTTGTCTGATTGTTAATTTCGACATGAATTGTAGTGTACATCATTTTCATCTATAAATTCTACATTATGAAATTGGCTAAACACAGATTCTTTTCCGAAGAAAACACAAAATGTTCGTTTTCTACTTCACACATCGTGTATCGAAATAAACTATAACCTACTTTTACACAACAGTACTATAGAAGTAAAGATTTCAATCTTGGGGTGAGGAATCATCCTGGTCCTGAAAAAGAGAAAGAATTGGTAATTAAAAAAACTTTTAATTTGAAGTGACTATAACAATCCATTGTTTTAAATATTAAATTTTAAGAAAAAAGAAACATACCAATTACTGAAAGTCAGCATCATCATCCTAGGAAAAAAATAAATAAATAAATAATCAGGAAAATACCTGATAAAACGATTTATATTATATTTGCATCAAACTAGTGTTGATTTCAATACAATGAACAATGAACTAAAAGGTGTGTAAAATTTGTGATTATCAAATAAGGAAACATACCCAAACGTATGGTCTTTTTGCGGGTGGAGGCATTATAGCAGCTTGTCTGCTTTTGTCAATTTCTCCCGTTGCTAAAGCTATAAAATAATAATATATATCAAAAATTTTTACCTTTTAGTCTATTCCAAAAGTAATTTGTCACATTTCAACATATTTCTCCGTGTCATGGGGACTTTTCCCACAAATACAAAAAATTGGTTGATTATATACATTTTGTTTATAAATCATAAAGAAGGAGAGATAGATCCTCCTCATCTCTATACGTAAGTTATTGAATTGTATCAGACATTCCTCAAGGTGAGTAGTGTAATCCCCACCATTATAATTTTCTTTTTCACATATATATCCTGTGAAGGCGATGCAATTTGCTTTCCTGCAAGACATTTTTAAAATAGCTAGTGTAAAAATCACGATTAACTTTACTTTATAAACTTTTACAAAGTCATAGTATCTAGTCCTGGATTGGTCACTTAAAGGGCAGGGCGTGCTAACTTGTCAAATATCTAATTTTTATTGTATTATTGGTCAGTGTAACATCGTATACTTGACTAAACATAATACATACCTTCAGGGTTTAGTGGGATGGCAATTAACTGAAAATATATCAGTTACTCCTTATTACATGCATAATATATTTGTAATGTATTTAAAGACTTCGCTGCGAATATACATGTTCAATTTAAAACAAAATTACATGTTCAAAAAAAAAACAAAAAAAAAAAAAACAGAGCAGTATCGTCCCATACTTGCGGATTAGCCTGTTGTTGTTGTTGTCCAACATAGGTCCATGTTTGCTGATTTTGATACGGTGTCTGTTGTGGGAATTGTTGTTGATATTGCTGCTGCTGTGAATGTCTTTCAGTGTTATATTGCTGCTGCTGTTGTTGTTGTTGCTGCTGTTGGGGTGAATAAGTCTTTGATTAAACAAAATAAATACATAATAAGAAACAGGAGAAATAGGACGATAACAATTCCACGATTGACATAAATCAAAAATATAAATTTGACTTACCCCCTGTTGATGAAAGGTAACATCATAGACTCCACCAATCTCAATTAATCCCTTAAGTTGAAGACTTTCCTCATAACTTAGAGTAACACTTTTACTTTTAGACAGATCA